CTTTTTAAGTTGCTAAAGCCCATAGTCATAAGCATAAATTAGCCTGTGCTATGTGTGGAGGGGAGGCGATGCATTTGGGATAACCAAACCAAAGCTTAGCATTATGTACCACATAGAGTGGGTGTAGAACCAAGATGCTTGGGTTGGTCTTTCAGAGCTTCAGACGGAACAACAGTCTCAGCTGACTGCTTCCCTGGGGTTGGTGAAAGACACGTCAGCACCAGTAAGGAAATGTCCCTTGTCCAATAAAATATGCAGTCTTTTTATATTTATTTTTACTGGAATTAGATGAAACACTGAACAGTAAAAGCACTGTCCTCGCCTATGGAATAGATCACTCTGGGCATGTTCCAGTAATTACATAAATGGCAGGAACATGAAGTACTAACTTGTGAAACAGGGCAGAGTGCCAGGAGAGTTTGGCATGGAAGGTTCACCTAAACCTATGCCAGAGGCATAGATGGAGGCTATAAAGATGCATATAAAAGTAAAGATTCTCTCCTCCTGTCATGAATGGCCTGCAGTGCAAAGAGTAGAGAGAATTCTGACAATGAAGATGATATTTTGTTATTTAAGTTCAGAACACAGCAGGACCAAATCCACCTCTCAATGGCTTCAAGCACAAGGCATACATATAATGGAGGAGAATGTGACCTGAGATTTTCTTTGTTGAGGCCGTTGAAACCTCTAGCAACAGTAAATAGTTCATGGGCAGGACAGCAGATTCGTTTAGGACATTCTGCAGTTGTTCCACACGTGGAACTTCCATGGATTTTCACTGGAAGCTCTGTGCATGGACTTGTACCCTGAGAAAGTATATAATTACTCTGCTGTGCCAGTCCCAAGGAATAAACTGCCCTGCGTGACCAAGGAAAGAAAACGTGAAACTGGCAGTGAACACGCTGGGCTTAGCTGAACCACCATCTAAGACGATTGGTGAAGGGAAAAGGAACTATAGCCAGAGCAAAGTCTGTCCCTATTTCATCAGCCCACAGCCTTGTCAGCTGATATTGGTCCCATGGCAAGACTTCCTTGTGCACTTAGGAGAAGTTTTGTTTAGTCACTGACACAGCATGACAAGTTTGTCTGCATGGAGCTTTTGGGCTGCGTTTCACTTTATGCCCAATATGGATGCCAGTAAGGCAAGAGTTAACCCTTAATGTGCCAAAACGTGGTGCTCAAGATCACAAGCCCTTATTTCGCAAACAGCTTGTTCTTCAGGAAACACAAGCTCTCTACAGAACTGGGGCATTAGTGTTGGATTCACGTGGGCCTCTGTTAGATCATGTGCTGTTCTGGAATTATTCTGGATTCATTGAGGATGGCAGTAAGTCTTACATTCTGTTGTCTGTCTGGGTCTGAACTTTAGCGTTAATTCATTTTTTAATATTGAATTTCTTTATTTCTAATAGCAACATTTTGAAAGAGTTTAAGAGGGGAAAAAAAGAAGTCCTTGCAATTCACCACCTGCTTGATTACTGGACCTTCCCTTTTGGTTTCAGAAATCTGCTTCCATCTGCCATGCTGAACAGAGGCAATCTTTTCTTTAGATGCTACTAAGATGGCAACAATGTAAAGGGAGGGAATGAATGCCTACCTGTGCAAACGGCCTACAGACTATTAGCTTGTAAAAGATTAAGCTTTGTGTTGGAGAGAGGCTGGAGCTGAGCAAAAAGAGACTTAAATGTACAGTTCTGGAGTGTTTGTGCCAATTCTTAGCACAAAGTAAACTGAAGTTTTGGAGTTAGAGAAACCACCTCAAAACACTGTTTGCTAGAGAATATGGAAATCCCACTGACATTCTACACAAGATTTACATGTCAAGTTTTCCTCTGGGGCGTATTAATCTGAATCACACTCCTTACAAGATTGTCAACATTGACTAAAAATGAACTGGTGATCGTAAGTGTACTTGTGGGTCAGAGGCTGCTTGACTAACTGCAGATTATGCAATTGCTTCCTCTTCTGGAACATACCAGAAGACACAGACAGACTGCATTAGACTCAGAATGAGATCTGTGTTCAGTTCCACCCTCCCGTTTCCCATGGACAGAAGGCTCACAAAAAGAGGAACAGAATAGAACAAAACTTGAATGGAGTCAGTGAAATGTTTACATTAGGAGAGTGATAACAAAAGCAAGCCCAAAATAAGCTATTTTCAATGGCCCTGCAGTGGAGGCAAATAAACTGAAAGTGACACTATGTGCTATTGTAATATTAAGTCATTTTCCAGGGCAGGATCACTTTGTCTGCAAAAATAAAATAAGGGTTGTAGATGGGAAAGAAATCCTGGATTTATTTACATGGTGTGACATTAAATAAATCTGATTTTTCCTAAATGTAGTAGAAATTGTGTATCAACTCCTCATCTCTCACACAGAGGATAGCCCAAGCAATCTTAGCTTTGCAGATGTTGATCAGTTAGCAAGAACAAACGGGACGAATGCCCACTTTTGCCAAAAAAGTGGGGACGGCTGGGACAGGGCTTAAAAAAGGGTCTGTCCTGGGCCAAAAAGAGGTGTATGGTCATCCTAGTGAGACCACCTGAGGGCCAGATCTGGCAACCCTAAAGCATGTAAGAAAACTTTACTTTTAAAAGTAGCTTTTAGTGACTTAATTGTTAGTTTCCACAAGGGTTGCAGGATCCTCCCCTGATTAAGGCAATCAAATGTGGCCCCAGGCTGGAGAGAAAGTACACCTCTACCCCGATATAACGCGACCCGATATAACACGAATTTGGATATAACGTGGTAAAGCAGTGCTCCGGGGGGAAGAAAGGGGGACCCGCGCACTCTGGTGGATCAAAGCATGTTCGATATAACGTGGTTTCACCTATAATGCGGTAAGGTTTTTTGGCTCCCAAGGACAGCGTTATATCGAGGTAGAGGTGTAGTAACATCCATCCATACACCATGAACAGTGTGTAAAGGAGACATTGTTTAGCAATGATGTAATTGAATTCTTATAGCCGCAACAAGTCGGGTAACATTACTATACAGGGAGAAGAGGTCAGAGGGGCAGTCCCAGAAATGGGAAAAGCACCTTAAATAGCTGTTTAAAATAAACTCTCTACATGAGGAATTAGCAAACCCCTCATTACTGAATAAGTAAAACAGAAATATTGAATGTGGCCATAACAAGCGAAAATCTGTGTTTGGAGTTATGTAGAAATAAACACAAACCCTAGTTTTAAGAACCATTGAACTATGGGGAAACTCAGAGTAGAGCCTAGATTTATATCTGAACTTTGTGGCTCAGGTCCAGTTGGGGTTACATGAATCAACATGGCCTGAATCAAACATGGCCTCTCAAACTTAATCCAGTCACTTTCACTAGGATTTAACTCTACTGTATTTTTATGGCAATAAGTGTGACACATGTTAAGTTAAAGAGAGAAAAATTCTTATGGGCCCTTGTCAGGGGGTTCGGTGTCTGAGCCCAGCAATATCTCCCAGTGGCAAGAGTCCGTGGCAGTGTCGCCCAGCGGCGAGAGTCTACAGCCGGTGGTAGGGGAACCCAGGCCCTGCCTGCTCCACCGAGGGCTCTGTGACTGGTCGGTCAGATATGCAGCATGGCACCAGGGTCACTTCCTACAACTTTCTTAGTCACCTCCAAAGTTGCAACAGGGGTTGGCTTATGACCTCATGGTAGGCGTTCTCACGGACAGTGATCTGGAGGCCCTTCTCCTTCACTCGTGGCCATCGTTCCTGGTCTCCATGGGGGTCTTTTGCAGCTGTGCAGCAGGGTCTGGTCCAGGTGGTGTGGAGCACCAGCAGCCTTTCTACAGGAGCTACCAGCATAGGGCCTGCTCTTGTGCTCTGTCCTACCTGGGTGAGCTGGGCTGCTTCCTTGTGAGCTCCGCCTCCACTGTGAGCATGCCCAGCAGGTGTGGCTGGCCGGGGCCTTCTTGGCTCAGAGCTGCTTGTTAACCTTTGGTTCCCCAGTGTGGGACTTATACACCCCCTCACATACCCTCCCCCTAAGGCTAAGACCCAAGAGTGGGTCCAGAAATTGGCATTTCTGTATACCTTTACTGGGTGATGGAGTACCTGGAAGTCATAGGGCTGCAGGGAAAGTTACCACCTCATGATCTGGGTATTGGTGTCCTTCATGGAGTTTAGCTAGTGGACTGGAGTGTGGTCTGTGACGAGTAGGAAGGAGTTCCCTAGGAGATAAT